CTGTTCTCTATGCATTTGCCTATTCTAGACATTTCATATAGGTAGGATCATATAATATTTGTCCTTTTGTGACTGACTTCACTCAGTAAAATGTTTTCAAGGTCCATCCATGTTGTAACATACGTTGGAACTTCAAAACAACCTAAGTTCATTTCTAAAGAGAACGAAGGGCTAAATCACAGTGTAATGACCACATGATTCTACAGTATGGGCTGGACGCAGCTCAAATGAGTCCAGCAGCTGTGAACAGCTGTGAGCAGGGACAGGCAGGGCTCAGAGAGCGAGGCCCAGGGCGAGCGCTCCTTCCTCACTCCACACCAGAGGAGCGCACGCAGTCCCTTTCAGAGTCAGATTTCCCTTTCAGGCAGCCCACAGAGGGGATTTATAGGCCCACAGGGATCCAGACATCTGTACTCAAGTCTACAAGCACCGCTAACCAACCCGGTCAGAAGCAGACGGAGTGTCATGCAGGCCGGTGTCCCTCCCCGACTTCCACAAACGCTGCTTTTGTGCCGGGGCCCAAGCCCCCAGCCCATATGGGGCATGGGGGGAGGAAAAGAGAACAAACCCTGCAGTGTTTCACTGAGCTGCTGCTGCAAGGACACTCACACTTGAGTCTGGGCTTTTAACCTTTCTGGAAGAGGCTGCCAGCCCACAGCTCTCCCGATATCCTCCTGGGCTAACCTGCGTCTCCTGAGCAGCCAGAGGAAGGACTGCTAAGTGTTCCAGTATTGATAAAGGCATCGTGTTTGGGCCTAAGTCATCTCTTCTATAATAAAAGGAAGCCAACCTGAGAGACACGATTGGATCTCCAAAGGCATATGCATGTCTCTCAGATGTCAGGAGCCGGGGAAAAAGAATACCCTGACAGCAAATCAAGCTGGTCCGTCACAGCCTTGAGTTGTTTTTGAAGTAGAAAAGGCATAAATGATACACGCATATGGGTAAGGAACGGATGACATTGAGAAGTTTGGGGCAGCCCAGACACTCCCAGCTCTCTGCTCTGCGCCCCCCAACCCCGGTTAGAGTTTAGAATGGAAATCAGGACCACTAGAGGCAAATTAAAAACTATGTGGAGTTGGCCCGTTGAGCATCCCTTTGGGGTTTCCTTCTCCTCATCTTCCCTGCTCCCTGGGCTACATCAGCACCCTATCCCCGTCTAGTGGGTGAGGGACACATAAAGTCCTAAGGCAATTGACCAGGATGCCAGGACTAGAATAACTCCCCAGAACTTGCACTGCATGCCCCAAGGTGAGTTACGCGGAGGCACGTGGGGGCCAGATGGCGTTCTCCGTGCTCTACACATCAGCGTGCAAACATGGCTGTCTAACTCTGCACAAAACCTCAGGGGCATCTTTCCACTGACCGACTGCCCAAGGATGCACTCGAAACACAAGCACGTTGCTGAAGTTCACTCTGGGTCTATGTGCATAAACACTATGGATAGCTGTGCTGTTTCTGTCCAATAAGTGGAGCCTGGACTTAGCTACTTATCACGACATTTCAAAGAAGTAAATAAAAAAACTACTTGGTTTAAAAAAAACAGAAAACTTTGAGGTTTTCGAAACCAGTTTCCACATGTCAGGTCCCTCCCTCGGGTCTGGCTTCCTCATCCTTGCTTGGCCTCAGTCTGCTGGATTTCAGACGGGACTTCATATTTTTCTGTCCCAGTTCTCTAGGTCAGTGCATGCTTCCAAGGTGATTAAACGTTTCCTGCAGTGCTCCCTGTGCAGGGTTCCCAGAAACAGGAGAAAAGGAAACAAAGGGTGCCTAAGAAGCCAAAGCCAAAGGAGGCCCTGGGTGGTGCAAATGTTAACGTGTCGGCGGCTGACCGAAAGGCTGGAGCTTCGAACCACCCAGAGGCACCTCAGAAGAACGTACTGACAATCAACTTTTGAAAAATGAGCCACTGAAAACCCTCTGGAGCACAGTTCTGCTCTGACACACCCGGGGTTGCCATGGGTCGGAACCAACTCAATGGCAGCTGGTTGGTTGAGAAGCCAAAGGAAAGGTTTTGAAGGTATGACAATGGAGAATCTTGGTTTTCATCCCTGAAGCAATATGCGGTCAGAGCTGAGCTGTGGTGGGAGGCACAGACTTGAGCAAGCTGTCTCCCCAGACCGAGGAGTACAAATGCAAAATCTGACAGGTGATGCCACTGAGTGAAGCGGCCAGGTACTGGGAGGACAGCAGGGAGAGGGGGTGACATCTGTGGGTGGCAGCTGACTACTCAGTTACAGTGCATGAATGTCACGCAGGAACACAGGCCCAGCACTGTCAGACTGTCCAATTATTCCACAGAAGCCAGAGACCCTGATTCTTATGTGGATCATTTTCAAGTGTTAGCTCAGTTTTTTTAAAAAACACTGTGCAGCTCTACCAGAAGGTGACTACCTAGAAGGTAAGCAACAGAGGGCAGGAAGAGGAGAGGAGCCTGGGGCACGGTCAGGGCTCACTCAGTACTTATGGGGTGAGGGAGGGCCTTCCTGGGGCAGAGGGTGGACGGTCTTGGGACAGACAATGCTGGGGTTGAGAAGCCATGGAAAGAGACGGCTAGTGATATGGAGGCTCCGTAATCAAGAGAAGAAATAACTACAGCGTGAACTTAAGCCATGGCCACTGCGATGGGGAGAAAAGGGCGAAATGCAATAGACAGGCTACAGAAATCTCAAAAAGCAGGACTCACTGAAAGACCAGATGTGTAGGGCTGGGGCGGTGATGACTCTTCCAGGGGAAGCCTGCGATGAACTTGTTTGAGGGCTGAGGGACTGGCCATGAGGGAGAGAAGTTAAACACATTTCTCATCAGTAGCTTTAAAGCCCTTCATCTGGCTCCCCCAGATGACCTTATTTACTTTCTCCTCCATTCTCCCACAAAGGGGGTCAGGGGATAACCAGGGGCCCAGAGGCCCAAGCACTGAGAGAAGCAGGGCCAAACCTATAGCTAATCAGACAATGAGATATTCATTCAGGAGAAACTGTTAGCAGGGTTAACAGAGGAACAGGTAGGACAGGTATACGCCCTGGAGAGGGATAGCATTTATTGGAAAGCATGAGAACAGCTGGGGCTATGTGGGGTTAGGCATATTGGCCGAATGGTGAAGAAGCAAGGACAGAAGTGGGTGAGGGAGACCCTCAATCAATCTCAAGTCATGGATTTCATAGGATGGGGCATGAGTTCTAGTCCACAACTTTCCTAAAGACTCAGTGCTATGGGTTGAACTGTGTCCCCAAAAAACATATGTGCTGTAAATCCTAACCTCTATGCCTGTTGTCTTGGTTCTGTCAATGAGGCAGGATTAGTGTAAGGTGTGTCTTAAGTCAATCTCTTTTGAGATATAAGAGATTAAAAGAGCAAGCGAGAGAAGCAGAGATGGGGGAAGGGAGATGCCAAGCCACATGAAGATCGCCCAGGAGCAGAAGCTCAAAGAAACAAAGGACCTTCCTCCAGAAGAGAAAGCCTTCCCCTAGAGACAGCACCCTTAATTCAGATTTCTAACCTCCTAAACTGTGAGAAAATAAATTTGTTTCTCAAAGCCATCCACTTACCATATTTCTGTTACAGCAGCACTAGATAACTAAGACACTCAGAAATCAAACACAAAAGTATGGCAAACCAAAAATAGCAGACTCAAGACTATTTCGCAGCTAAACTAAGTGAATCTTTTCATGCATGACTTGTGTGGACTTCAGTTTAAAAGAGTTTTTACAGTTATCAAATTGGGTCCAAGGCCTTGGACAAATCTTGATTTTCACTTTAAAAGATAAACTTTATCAGGAGTTTAAGAACAAGAACAACTAAAACCACTCATTAACCAAAAAATTATTAGAGTAACTAATGTTACTAATTAGCTAACTACTTAGTAATTCTGTGATTGCTCCAAGGGCCAAAGCACTATACTGCTGTGATGCTGCTGTTGTGCCGTCGAGTCAATTCTGACTCATAGCGACCCCACGTGACAGAGTAGAACTGCCCCGTAGGGTTTCCTAGGCTGTAATCTTTATGAGAGAAGATCACCAGGGCTTTCTCTCTTGCAGAGCTGCTGGGTGGGTTCAAATTGCCGAGCTCTTGGTTAGCAGGTAAGCGCTTAACTGTTGTACCACCAGGGCTCCCTAGGCACTATACTAGGCCCTTTAAATGCCCTGCCTCATAAATCTGTACAATAATTCTATCAAGGAGCTGACAGCGTCATGCCTGATTTACCCATGAGGAGTAAAAGGGAGGCCTAGAGAGTCTAAGTCACCTGCCCAAGGTGACAAAAGTCTTTGAGTGATAGAGCCTGGGTGAGACCCAAGGCACTTCTGCTCCAGGGCCCTTGCTCCAAGCCCGAGGTCAGCAAACACTGTCTGTAAAGGGTTAGACAGTGAATATTTCTGCTTTGTGGGCCATGTGGGCTCTGGTACAACTTCCCAACTCCGCCACTGTAGCCGCTATAGACAATTAAACAGATAGGCGTGGCTGTGTTCCAACAAAACTTTACTTATGGACACTGAAATCTCAGTTTTATGTAATGTTCCCATGTCATGAAATATTATTGTTCTTTCGATTTTTTATAACATAAAAACCATTCTGAACTCATGGGCCATAAAAACAGGTGGCAGGCTGGCTTTTTCCCACATGCCACAGTCTGCTGACCCCTGGTCTAAGCCACTAGGCTCTGCTGCCCTCCCTCCGGCCCAAGTCTCATGCTGGGTTTCCTTAGGAGGCCCAGAGATTTTTTTAGGATGAAGTCTGTGAAAGCACATCTGGACAGGGCACTCAACTCTGAAACTCAATTGTGGGGAAAGACCCAACAGAAATGGCTCCTTGAGGGGCCCCTCGAAGGACTCCGGCCCCAGACTGCGAGTCTGTCTTCTGCCCAGTCTCCTCACTTGCTTTCTTCTATGGAAAAAAACTGATTCAGGTCAATCCGAAACCAGGGGAAATTCTGGGTAGGACGGGGTGCCCCCTCCCGCACAATATGGTTTTCTGCAAATATGGGTTCGCTGGGTCCTTCTTACCTGCAGGGTTTGGCTGAAGCGCTTTAACGGTGTGGCCTTCACAGGCGGGATGAGGTTTGCGAGTGACGTGACCCTGGAAAGGGGTTTGACCCGTTTATTACTAGGCTCCTGTAGGGTTAAAAGGAAAAAAAAAAAAAAGGGAAAATGTCAAGGTCAGTTACAAAGACAACGTCATTCCACCATACAGTCGTTTCCCACTCCAGGAGCTGCTGTGGAATATAAACAGATATCAGGGAGATGACCTGGCTTAGGAGCCAAGGAAGAAGAAATGGCAGAGATGTCAACAGAGGCAGCTTCTGAGCCGACAGCAAACGGGCTCCTTGGCCCCTCTTCCCAATACCAATCAGTTTTTAATTCAGAAGCTTCCATTTAGTAGAATAATTCCCCCTAACCCCTCCTTCAGAGAAAAGCCATCTCTGATTTCCCATCCAATGACCTTGTCAGGCAGTCACCTTTTGGTGCTTCTGGTTTTGTTGATCATTTGAAAAACCTTTTCCCCATCTTGCCTGAAGCCATTTCTCTGAATTCCTTTTATGCCATGGATTTTCTAAAGCACAAAGTACATTGGTCTTTTATAATTCACTAAATTAAAAATTAAATTAAAAAAAGTTCTATTACTGGGCTCTCAAAAAGCATCTTTGCATCTACAGTATATCTGAAATGTAAAAAACCACCAGATAGCTAAAGAAAACTTACAGAGAAAACCCTACCACGGCAACCTTTTCTATACCACACAGAGCCACAAGTTTTAAAAATAACCTCCACATAAAACAGTCTTTGCAAACCTGAAAGGCACCCCAAAGCAGGCTGACGGGTGAGAGGGCACACACCCACTCCAATGACTTTGCAGACAAGAATTACACAAGTAAAATCACCAGGCTATGGGGAAGAGAGGGATGACAGATGACACATTTACAAAGACAAAGAGAAGGGTTACCCTTGTCCTCCTAAGCGCCATCTGACGAGGCAGACTCTGGACAGCACATGAAGATACCAGATTTTGATGGAAAAAGCCAAAACTGCCAATGGCTGTGGCAAACCTTGATCACTTCCAGAGGGAGCATCCAGGTGCTCATCTTTCTTCTCCAGCCATTGCTTTCAAAGTTTTGAGGGTTAACCCAGAACTTCAGATTCTCCAGGATATCCCTGCAGGGTGGGCTGAACATAGTAGGTGCTTGGAAAAATCTTTCCTGAATTTAGAATCCTGCCGAGAAGTTCTCATGTCATTTCACACCCTTGCCAGCCTTAGAACTCAGAAGCTTTCTTTGAAATAGACTGTCTCCAACCTTTTTCACTTTTTAATAGAAAATTAAAAACACCACAAAAAAAAAAGAAGTTCAGTACAATTCTACACTGTGGCTGGGGTGACTTCACGATTTCTCAAAGAGTCAAATACTTTTCCAAGATGGAGACTGAATCCAGGCTGCTGGGTACCTCTCTGGCTTCTCGGCGTGCTGAGCTAGCAAACAGCTGAAAACTCTCCAAATGCGGGCAAAGGCTCCATCCAAAATGTAAAGGATGAATATCCCAGTGTGAGAGACACTGCATTACAATTATTTAAGTGCTGACGGGAGAGGTCTGGTGGCCCTCCTGCCTGCAGGTGACAGTGCCCTTCAGGACGCTCCCAGCCCAGTGTCTGGCTCCTGAGTATCTGTGCCCAAAGGAGGAGTTTAAACCATTTTTTTTTTTACGTCACAGCTGCACTGCTGGAATACTGAACTCACTCACACACACAGACATATACACACAGCCTCTTGAGCATCCCCTGAATTTCTTTACGTGGCTCTTGCTTTGGATTGGAAATGTCAGGGTTGTGACATTGCTACCTTTGGTAGCAGCAAGCGGGGAGACAGGGATTTCCTGGGGGAGCAGCACTGGGTCTCAGGTAACCCTGCATGCACCTCAGAGCCCGGAGACTCCTGGGGCTCTGCTTTTTTTGAATGGTGAAAGCTGCTGGTCACAGATTCTGTATCAAACTGGGAGGTTGCAGGGCAAACACTGATCGGGTTCTCTTGCTCTAAAAAGGAGCAGGGAGCACTGCAGCCTTGGCAGGATGGGGGAAGATTCGGCTCCATTCCACTTGATGGGTCATCTTACCTAAGGTTCTGCTGACTCTGCTGCACATCGTCCATGACCCAGCCGGACTAGCATTTTCTGCACAGCTATGAGATTATGTACAATGCAAACACCGGCCCCTGTGCGGGTCAAGCGGAGTGCTGCTACAGGAGACTGTCATGGAACTGCTTCTCTGCGGCATTGCTCCTTAGAAGTAAACACTGAGCTGTTCTCCGGCAATCTGACATTCCCGAGTCACACACAGTGGAACCAGAGGCTGCTGCTGCTGCATGATTCAGTGCTATGACCCAGCAACGCAGGCAGGTACCCTTTCAAAACCAGAACACTCACAGCTTATTGGATCCATGTGGGAGGCTTTATGCCTGACCCATATAAGTGAGGTATGAATTATGGTGTTCTCCTTGAGGGCTTCTGTAAGAATAGGAGATTAAAAAAATTCTTGGTCTAATTTGATTTTTCTTTTCCATTTACTCAGCATGTCTCCAGCTACATTTTACTGCTGTCTAAAGAGAGCCCTCAGGGAAAATGTTTCCAGATTCCAGTTAAGTAGCTCTACTGAGAACTGGCAATACAATACCAGGGATGCTTTCCGGCTTTGCAGAGAGATGACAGAATACAACCTGCAGAGAACCTTCCTAGTCCAACAGCTCAGGGGGCAGACAAAGCAAGGCAAGGTTAACACTGACCCAGGAACAAGGTGTTCTGTTTCAAGCGCAGCCAGCTGCCTCCCCACCACCACCACCGCCCCGTGACTGTAAGACAGGGTAGGAGGGCATCTCGCTAAGGAGGTTTAAAAAAAAAGAAAAATGGAATTGAGCATTGTATAGGCAGTATTTTGTGACTAACAACAGTTTCATCTTTGCCAGGCTTTGTAGCCTTCCTGTTTTTCTTGTCATATTGCACTAGGACCACCTGTATGATGCTAATTAATTACAAGTCGTGACAGCGGGTACACTGGTCTAATTCCTAACTCTAAAGTGATTACTAAGATTTTATCACTTAGTGATGACGGTTACACAACAGAGTGAATGTAATTAATGTCACTGGATTGTACACATACAAAATGCTGAAAGGGCAAATGTTTTGTTATATATAATTTTATCACAATTAAACAACAACAAAAAAAGATTTCATCACTAGGTATTGTGTTCACTCAGAGCAGGGAAGAGACAGCCTTTAACAAGCAGAGAAAGTTCCTTCCTACACCAAGTTTGCTGTGAATTGTCAGCATGAATAGGTACTGACTTTTAGCCAATGTTTTCTCTTCACCTATTCTGAGGACAAGGAAGGGAAAAGAGGAGGAGAAGGAGGGGAGAGGAGGAAGGAAGGAAAATAGAGACTGAAGAAAGACAGGCATAGAAGTCATATTTTTTCATAAAAGAATGGATTCAGTAATTTAGAGCATCTCTTGTACTTGAAGAAGCCCTTGTGGTGCAGTGGTTGTAGCACTCAGCTGCTAACCAAAAAGTCAGTGGTTTGAACCCACCAGCTGCTCCACGGGAGAAAGATGTGGCAGTTGGCTTCCATAAGGATTCACAGCCTTGGAAACCCTGTAGGGCAGTTCTAGCCTGTCCTATAGGGTCGCTATGAGTCGGAGTTGACTTGACGGCAGCGGGTAGGAAGAGTACAGGGGACTCAGGATACAGCCCTGCCAGTGGTATGTGGTCAGAATTCTCCATATTAAAACGGTATTTTTTAAAAAATGGACATAAAGCTGTTTTGCAAATGTACCAGTGAACACTGAACTGGAACAGACAGGTGCCATCAAAGGCTTTTGCTTCAGTTGCTAGTGAAGGCGCAGTGAGAAAAGATGCTAAAGCGACAGATGTCATCCAGAATCAAATATAATTAGAAGCCTCGTAAAATGAGAAGAAAAAAAATCGTACTACTGAGTTTCAGTAACTTTTCACTGACATAGAATGGAATAGGGAAAGGTCCATGCCACTGGGAAAGCCAAAGCCAGGAGAGCTACTTGGCAGCATTTAAATTTAGACGGGCAAAAACTCCGTGGAGGGGCAGCAGCCCAGCTGCAGTAAGACTCCCTGAAGTCTGCTGTATTCTATTAACTGGTTTTTCATTCTGTCTCATTTAGAAACCCAGCACAGGCTCCTCCTCACCAAACACTCCGCTGGAGGTCAACTCTCACTCATCTCAGAAACACACAGGGAAAATAGGGGCCATTCTCAATCAGACTGCCGATGGGCAGGAGTTCTTTGCTCCGTGGTTTCTTTTGTGAGCGTGCTTTGCTTTCCCCACAAGTGCACCCCCCAAGTCAAGTTCTCTCTCCATCCCTACAGTAGCAACATCTTCTAAAACGGCCAAGAACTCCCATTCTTGCCAGGCTCTCACTCCCCTTTGCGTCTCTCCAGCCAAATCAATGTAAAGCTCAAGATTCCCCTACTTTGCCATCCCCCTCCTTAGGGCAAAAGGGCAGTTCACACCATTTTACAGTTTATGTCCAAGATTCTCACCTTCAAAACTATAGGTGACCATAGATATTCTTGGGTTCTCACTTCGTTTGACACCTCCTGTGACCAAGGCCCTCCCACCCCTTTAGGGTCTTGCATTCACCCACTGGCTCATTATTTCACTTCTGCCTCCACCCTCCTTCCAAGCCACATTTGAAACCTGCCTTGTGTCTCTGACTCCTGTCTCTACCCTCGTTGGGGGCGGGGGGGACTTGACAGCTTGCCTTGTATCTTGTTCTTCAAAGAATTCCTGCAGAGTCTCTCTTCTACATTAACTTTTTTTTTTTTTTTTAAACTAAATAGTTGAGAATGAACTGTATTTTTGGAGAGGCGGGTTTAGCTATCTATCTATCCATTCATCCATCTATCTTGTATCTTAGTCTGACTCTGGTGCTTATTAGCTCGGTGATCTTGGGCAAGTTACTTATGCACATTTCTCCAACTGAAAAATGGAGAAATAATTCTCTCATAATGCAGTGGCGGGAATTCAGTAAGAACTACCATTTGTTAGGGACTAATAATCCATGTCAGGCACTGGAAGAAGACCTTTACATAAATTTGCTC